GATTACTACACTTTATTGCTAGTCATAGGTTCACTGGTGGCAAAGCAAAATGGGAACCGGCATTTATGCCCGATCTAAGCTCAGCCTTAAATCAGCTTGCCAGCCTAACATATCTCCACTGAGGCTTCTCCTGGACCTTGGTAGGAGGTTGGCACCCCAGTTCACATCTATTTCAAGTGTAAAGCTCCCTCCCGGCCAGAGTTTAAGGGACACAAAGTCGCACGACCTAAACCGAAAACAGGATTTCTAATCTTCAGCAAGGTCTGCTTAGTACACCAGTGGTTCTCAACTCGTGGGTGCACAGGTGTCTTGGCCTACAACTCCCAGAAATCCCAGCCAGTTAACCAGCTGTTAGGGTTCCTGGGAGTTGAAGGCCAAAACATCTGGGGACCCACAGGTTGGGAAACACTGGCCTACACAGTTCTACATGGCTATGTTTTTTTTTATTGAGCCAGTTACTTGCTAAAAGGAAAAGCACAACCCTAAAAAGCTGAGGTTATAAACATATCACCATTCTCCCCCCACCTTCTCAGTATACACAGTACAAAAATACGCACACTTACATACATACATACCTACACACACACAGACGTAATAAAGCTGTGTGGATCCTAAACGGCATCATCAATAAGCTTATTCTACCTACAGTACAAATAGCTGAAAGTGGGTGACTGTGAAGGGCTGAACCAGCTATCTCATTTTTCGGTCATAGGCCAATGTCTTCACAAATCTTACAGTAACAAAATCAAGGACCATGAAGGCCTATCACAGCTTCTAGAAACACACTACATTGGAAGGAAAAACACATTCAAAAAAGCCAAGAGAAGAGAAGCTATAGCAATACCGTGGGGAGCACATTTGATGACCATAGCATGCTTCAAGTGGCTCTTCAAGCTCACAGTCAATTTAGTTGGCCACTCTGCATATGCTCAGGTAGCAGTTTCTTTTTACCCCTCACAGTGCTGTGCATGTATTAATGGGATTATATAAAGCAAAGTACGATCAATTGCTATATTCCTAAGGATTATCAGTTTCAAGACACATTCATTTCAACAAGAACGATGGTCTTCTCACATAAACACACACCATTTCTCTGCCCATAAAAGCTCATCCTCAACCACCACCACCACCACTAAAGAAACCAAAATAACCAAGGAGAAAAATTAGTAACACTGAATGATATGGTAATTTAGTCTTTTAAGACTATATACACAGAGCAACTGAGAGACATGAAAAGCAGGCTTAAGCAACAATTGCAATAATTCTAGGTCTTTTCTGAGCCAACAAATCCATAGAATGTATATGAAATCCATATGGACACCCAATCACTTCGTTCTATTTTTTTGTGTGGATTGAAAATAAATGTACTATATGGTAATTTAGGCTTTTAAGACTAAGGGCACAGATCAGCAGAGATTCATGAAAAGTCCTGCTTAAGCAACAATTGCAATAATTCTAGGTCTTTTCTGAGACAACAAATCCATAGAATGTATAGGAAATCCGTATGGACACCCAATCACTTTCTCTTTTTTTTGGCTTGGATTAAAAAGAAATGTACTATAATAGTTAAAATATTGATAGGGCTACCAACTGGCCATGGAGTGGTAGAGTACCACTAACTGACTACTCCAAAGGTGATCAGTCAAGGGTAAGCCACAGTTTTTGCTGCATACTAAAAATGTTCTAACACAGATTTAATTGAAAAAAGAAGTCCAAAGACATTACTTGTTTGCCCCTTGGCATGTGGCAATCCGAATGTATCTGGGAAATTTGAATGAAGGGGAACTGAATAATGGACAAGGTGGTGAAAAGAGTCCCAGGGCATACCAAGGTGTAACAGTCAACATGAGCCTTCCTTGTCAGGAGATAAAGCCACCTTGCCAGTTTCGGAGCAGCTCAAATGTAAGCAAGCCAGGTTTATCTCCTGATAGGGATGGCTTTCTCTTCTCTTCCCCCCTGGCCACTTTTCTTTGGATGCTTCACCCTGTCCTCCTTCTCCTCCGCTGGCACAGTAACACTGGCATATTAGATCTTAGCCCTAGGGTGCAAAGAATCAGTTTATTTTCCATTATACTCATCAGTTGGAAACTGAAAAACATGACATTAGATAAGCTTTGAGTAAGGGATTAAGCCAGTGGTTCTCAACCTGTGGGTCTTCAACTACCAGAAATCCAAACAGCTAGTAAACTAACTGGGATTTCTGGGAATTGTAGGCCAAAACACCTGGGGACCCACAGCTTGAGAACCACTGGATTAAGCAGTCTTCACTAAGCTAGTGCCATCCAGATGTGTTAGGTGGTAGCTCCCACCACTCTCAAACAGCACAATCCAGTACATCGAGAGGGCACCAGGTCAGAAAAGTCCCAATTCAAGGGGTGTATCGACATTACATATTTATAATGGCTTGATAGTACTTTAATTGCCACGTCTCTCTCTTGTAGAATCTTGGGATTTGTAGTTTAGGAAAAGGTACTTGCAGTTCTTTAGCACACCTTCGTGCACGAGAGGCAAAGATCTAATTACAAATATTAGGATTTCATTTGATGAAACCATTATACTTTAAGTGGTATCAAACTAAAGTGTGGCTACACCTAAAGTTAGTGTCTGTCACTTGGTAACCTCATTTTAAGCGATGTCTCTACTACACAGCCCTTTATGGATAATTGTGAGGTTTCTACAAAAAGATCTGCAAGGTTTGCCCGTTTGCAGGGCCAGGCATCATGGGTACAATTTCTTCTCTTCCTGTATTGCACTGAAGGTAGGTAGCACACCACCAAGTTGCCTAGATAACATGGGCCTTATTAGCCCATGCCAGAAGATTAGCCATGTTTCCATGCAGGAAGATAAAATATATTAGAAAAACAAAGAGGTGGCCAGCATGCCTCCAGAGCAGTCCAGAAAATGCAAACACATTTCTCTTTCCCAGAATGTTTTGCAGGGAATTCATAATTACAGGCATTCGTTGACAATTTCTTTTGAGTTTAAGAACTGCACCTCTGAACAATCCTCTCGAGTAGTCTGCAAAGGAGCAACTCACAGCTGTGGCTTCTGCATTTATCTACTACATTTAGTATATAATGTGAATTCCTTCAAGTTCAATTTTGAAAACCTTTAGCCTTTCAGATGAACTTGTTTTATTCTTCTGTGTTAATCTGCAGGAGGTTGAAGACACTGAGATTAGTTTCATACCGTGAGATGCATTCTGGGAGGGAGAAATTCTCACATACATGCTCATTCTGTTTTATTCATCTTGGTTTTGGTCAAATATCTTTAATGTCACCTGTTGTAGTTACTGCACAATCATTAAATGACAAGTTACTTCTTTTAACGTGCATTATTAAACCTGAGCTCTTGGCAGCAAACTGATTTCCCCTCTATCTGAGCCTGGCCCTTCTGCTGCACAGCATCATTTGGCACTTGGGCTATAGTGACCTAATCATTTGGGACTACCTGGTGCCTTCTTGGGTTTGGTTTAATGAGTGCAGTCTCAAGCAATAAGAGCTAAGCAAAATACCCCATTGAGAAATGAGGCTTTTGTTTGCAGGAGCAATGAAATGCCAAGTGCGGTGGTGACTTCTGAAGTACAAACAAAACAGTCCACACCACCAAGCCTTCAAAGAGTGCCTAAGTCACTCATGTTGATCTATATCAATAAATGGATTAAAACAGACCCCAAATGTTTGATCTTCACTAAAGCAGAGTTTTTGCAAAGCTAATGTCTCTTTTATGTAGGATCAAGCCAATATTTTGATATTACAACAGAGTTCACAACTAGATGTTTATATCTGGAAAATAAATCATTTTGCTTGCAGCCAGCCCCTTGAGAAATGGAGCTCAATTGAGAAGGAAGCCAGGGTTGGGGGACAGGTGGCATCACCATCCTTCTAATCCAAAATCTACTAGTTCCAAACAGGGTAGTGCCAAAAAAAGCAACTCACTGAATCAATTGGACTTGGCACATCAAATTCTGTAATTTGTACCAAATGAAATTATTGGCAAGATTAAGGATTTGTCCCAGTATTTCGATTTTACAAACTCTGGCTGTATTAGTCTACTAGTTAAAATGGATCCTGGATGTAGGTTGTCACATATATGGGTTTTCATACTGAGGACAAGCATTTACAGTTTCCAGTAGCTGCAATTTTCCACTATACATCTGCTAAATAGAAAATGTGCACTTTTTAACTATAAAGTACCTTTTACAATGAAAGCACAGTCCTGAGAATGATAAGCCTTGGAAAGATTGTAAGGAGAACCTGTAATTGTGAGTTTTCCAGGCTGTATGGCCATTTTCCAGAAGCATTCTCTCCTGACTTTTCACCCACATCTATGGCAAACATCCTCAGAGGTTGAGGGATCTGTTAGAAACTAGGCAAGTGAGGTTTATGTATCTGTGGAATGTCCACTGCAGCACTCAAAAGGAGGGGAATTTCAGACAAGAATCAATCAGTGCCAACTAACAGCTCCCAACAAAGGATTCCCCCAGGTAGCAAACAGTCAGGCTCTGAAGCTGCAAGGCCATGAGATGCTAATCAAGGCCATTAGGTGCAACATTTACATCTGCCTCAAGCAGACAAGAGTTCTTTCTCCTACCCTGAACATCTCACAGATATATAAACCTCACTTGCCTAGTTTCCAACAGACCCCTCAACCTCTGAGGATGAAATGTCAGGAGAGAATGCTTTTGGAATACAGCCACACAGCCCAGAAAACTCACAGCAACCCAGTGATTCTGGCCATGAAAGCCTTCAACAACAAACCTGTAACTTTGCTTTTAATCAATTTCAGCCTGATCAACATCATCTGTAAAGCTGCAGTATTAATGCTGCTTATTAACAAAAATAGGAAGATATATTATTCACAAAGGTTCTTGAATCACACAGGTTTAGGTTTCACCAAAAGTCCAAATATCAGGTGATATTTGGACTTTTCTCAACATGTGATGCATCCTATCACATAGCTCCACAAAGGCCTTACAGTTGCTAACTTGTTACCAAGCCTTGTTGTCATTGATTCACAATTTACATGCTTTTGGCCCTTAGTTGACCACTGGGACACATTTGGTCCAGGGGTGTCCAGTTGTTGACAACTAACTTAAATCCACAAAGTGAGAAGGAAATGTATATAAAAAAGCCTATACTGCAAAAGACTGCTACACATTTTGACAGATATTAATACATGAACTCAAATTATTCATTCACATGTGCTATTGTTTTCTGAAAAAATACGTTCTTGTACATTTAAAATTTGGCACATTTGTGAGCTTTATGGGTATACTAAGCAAAAAGTACAATCTTACTCTGCTACCTACTCTGAATACGACTGTGTAAACACACAGAGAAACATGCACACAACCCCATCACATCTGAGTATATAAAGCTAAGTACCAGATTATGACCACAGAAACCATACTTTGAATCCACCACCTCGGAAACATTTCATAACATTCACGTTTGCCATTCTATCTCTAAGGAAAACCACAAACTAATGCTCAAAGAGAGCAGGTCCCAACCTTGAATGCCACATGCGGCTCTGATATCACGCGGAACCAAGTTTATGTTTCTCTTGATGGATCCACTTTATATATTTCACAAAGTGGGGGAAAATCCACACAAACATTTAGATTTCAAGTGTAATCTCTTCTCAACTTGGAGGACTACTGAGTAAATAAAAGGAAATGTCTACAAGAAAAGGCACTAATGTTTCTACAATCAGAACACCAGATTCTCTACTCAAAAGATGTACACACATACATGTGACCCTGTGAAAGGGGGAAAGATTAAAGCTCTTACAGCTATGTACATCAATCAGCTTTCATCGCTATCCATCTCTTTTCCCTGCTGCTTTGCAGACATTAGATGCTGTACAGGTCTCATTATCTTCCCACCCTACTCATACCCCATTGCGTTTCTAGCTCAAGTTCAAATGAGAGCCACCATCCAATCAGGACAAATGGATTTCATAAGCATGTTCCACTAAACTGGTGTTTTCCAGCCAGTTTACCAGCTGTTAGGATTTTTGGAAGATGAAGGTCAAAACATTTGGAGACCCATAAGTTGAGAACCACTGCACTAACCCAACAAAATCAATGTGGCTTTCAACATGGGTATCCTATGTGGCCAAATGAAGGCATGCCCAGCTTTGGCAACTGAGTCAGTCTTGGAGAGGATATGTACAATCTGTCTTTCCAAATTAAGATCTTTCCACACTTCACACAGAGGGGGCTGACTGGGCTCGCTCTCCAGTCAAATGCTACTACTGAAAGGTTTTATCTGTGGCTGGATTACACACCCAGTTGAAGCTTATCTCCTCCACATAACAGTTCATAGTTTATACTCTGCAATAGCAATGCACTGGCCACAGAATAGCTTTACTCAGCAATGTAATCTGTTTCTCAAATAATATCTCTACTATAGAATTCAACTAGTTTTCTGGGAAGATAGATGGGATGTCATCTGATGTGTCTAGGTGTAGCTTCCTAAAACAGAGAACTCAGCTCTCTCCTTACCACCATTTCCAGATGTCTTTCACAAACATCACAGTGTATGGGTTGTTGTGAGTTTTCCAGGCTGTATGGCTATGTTCCAGAAACATTCTCTCCTGATGTTTTGCCTACATCTAGAGCAGGCATCCTCAGAGGTTGTGAGGTTACATAGATGCAGGTGAAACGTCGGGAGACAATGCTTCTGGAACATGGCCATACAGCTCAGAAAACTCTCAACAACCCAGTGGTTCTGGCCATGAAAGCCTTCCAACAATACATCACAGTGTATGATGGAAACAATATCTGTAGAGCAGATATATCCTCAATGAACATTCACATAAAAACAGTCTACAATTCTAAGGCCAGAAGGAAAATCTATACACAACAGTAAGTAACTATTTCAGCAATTTGTGGAAGGATATTTGATGATGACTCAGCAATTATTTGACACAGGAAGAAAGCAAGAGAGGGATTAATTTAAAACATCAACAATATAACCCTCCCCGAATTCTAGTCCATGTTTGTTTATTTGGCTATTTTTCAAAGAAATACATTTAAAATTACTCCCAGAAAACCCAATGTTATTTTATGTTGCCTTCTATAGCTTACTGGAATGAAAAAAAAGTATATTTTCCTCCTTTCCAATCCATACAAACGAAAGATGAAGTCAAGGTTAAGGAAAAATAAAAATGAAGCCCAACATCTGAACCAATCCAACAGAAGTCAGTCACAAACGAATCAATAAAAAAGGCCAGGAATCAAATTTATTTGCACATAACCCGAGCTCAAAGGATTTTGGACAAGCAGAGCTCCTCCTATAGAATTTTAAGACTGTCATGGGACACAAACGGGTGGCACATAAGATCACAGATGTTTAAGTAGGTCTGATTTCAATGAGACTTTGGGTAGGAGTTGTGACTGACTTTTCATGGAGCGAATTGACCACGTCATAGTCCTTATTGTGTCCTAAGTTTATAAGCTTCTCTTCAGGCACTTTGTTGAATCATTAAGGACAACACAAAGTAAAGCTATAAGAACACTGACATTTTGTGGTCTGAAAAAGAAATTAGTGTAACCAAGCAACACAAAAAGGTGGCGTTTTTGGCAGCTCGCTTTTCTTTCCCAACAATGCCAGTTGTCAATGGGTGCAATCCAAACACTACTGATGTACATCCACCACTCACTTCTATGGAGCTTGAGTGGAGCTTCTCCATTTCTATGATATTCCGAAGAGCTTGGGGAAGCATGCTCTGTTTCATTTAAAGCCACACTTTGGCATCTTCAGATTGTTCAAGGCAAGCAAGCCATAGACACAAACAAAGCTTGGGAAGAAAAAAATGTTTTCCTCCATTTTTTTTTAACAGGACGTTTCAGCAGCGGCTTTAATAGGAAAAAGCTTGCCTTTCTGCTCAATATTGCACTTTCTTTGTTCACTCATGTCAGCACAGATGAACATGATTCATAGCTTCTTTTTTAAAAGTGTTCTGACACCATGATTCGGGGAAATAATATGGGAATCAAATGTCTCAAAGCTTAAGCTACATATTAAGATAAATAACCTTGAATTTTAAAAGGAGAGGGGGGAAAAGATAGCAGGTGGCCATAGCTCTGGAATAAAGGTCCTACATACATTGTCTGGCATTTTAAAGTCAAGGTTCTCACCTAAGTGGAGAACCACTTGCAAACGTGGACAAGATGACACTTTGTTTGATGAACGACAGGTCTGACCCAGTAGAAAGCAACAGTCTATGAGAAAACATTTCAGGAAAGGGACAGACCACTAGGTTTTGTCTCTGCTATCTCCAGTCAAAGCATTTTAGGCTGAGAAAAACCTATATTTAAGACTTCAGGAGATCCAGGACAGAGAGTGCTGGGTTAAAGTTCTGGAGCATTGGCCGGGAATCGGACCAGGTGAGTGTGAAAGCGACTAGGGGTTATTTGGGGGCTCGTCTGGGATAAATTGGAAAACCACTACAGACAAAGGGTGGCAGTGCGTTTTCTGGGCATTAGCTAACATTCTGAAAAGACAATGGATTCCCAAAATCGTAAAGACACAAAACCACTAGAAGCAGTAGTACAGAAATCACATGGGTAACTGTTTTTTGCAACTTATATAATACAACATTGAATGTATATACAGCTTATATAATACAGCATTGAGTGATGTACAGAGAACATAAGACTGTTATATACACAGTGATTTTTACACCAGTCACAAAAGTAGAATATTTCTTGCTTTAAAGCAGACTTCTTCTAAGGGCATTAGATCCCTTACTCTCTTGTGAGTAGAAGTTTATAAGCCAAACTGTCTGTGAAAAGATAATTCTGTAATAATAATATCCACTTCCTTGTAGGAGGTTATCCACATAGAGGATTTCCAGACAGGTTTCAACTGTCTTAAGTCTTCCTCAGGTGGAAAAATATGAAGAGTACAATGAAATGGACATCAAGTACTCCAAAACATTAGGTCTTCCTCAGTTGCAAAAGTATGAGAATACAACAATGAAGTGAACATCAGGTTCTCCTAACCAGTGGTCTGTATTCATTTGTTTCCATAGCGAGCACATTACATAAGTTGTATATACATTCAATGTTGTATTATATAAGTTGCAAAAAAACATTTACCTCTGTAATTTATGTACTACTGGATTTGTGTCTTTGCATTAGCTAATATTGTCACCTGCACGTGGCCAAAGTAAATTATCTTGAAGACAACTTCTGCTGTCAGTCTGCTTTCTTCACCCGCGTCCAAATGAAATTCTAAAATAAAACGAGCCTGTGATCTGACTCAGCGGAAGACAGATCTTTATCATTTTTTAAAAGAAGGTACTCACGTAGATGAATTTTCATTTGATCAGGCAGCTTGCATGTTATTCTGCATAACTGCCAGATCTAAAAAACAGTTAAAAGGGTAGAGCTGGATTCAAACTTTTAAAAAAGTGTCTTAAATCAAACTGGCAAATGGTTACACATTCCAAGTTACGCTGATTTGCTAAATGGGTTTTAATTACCCTTTCAAGCATCTTTACAGGCAGGAAGAGAGCGCAACTGCAGTACGCAAAAGAGGAGAATGCAGTCCCTGAACTGATATATGTACATTTGAAATGGATATGGTAAACACCTCTTCATTCAAGAAAGCATGTATTTGAATGCTGCGTCTCAGTAGCATGCCGCAGATTTCGCAGCAGTTCCTTTCACATTAAAAACAAAGGCAGACAATAATTGCATCAACTTTAACATGACCTCCAAACTACGGCTGAACTACTACATTTCTAGGAACAATCTAAGAATAAGCCAGTGGAGGCGTTCAGTTTAAAACATAGTATCTACTGCATTTATGAAAACTGCATTATATATCCTAGAAATAACTAGAAGGGTGAGAAAAAAAAGTGAAAAATATTTTGCTGGATTCCATTCAAAAGAGAGAATGGAATGGGGGAGAAAAAGAACCTCAAAAGAGACACTGTACCACAATGTTTTTCTTTTGGGTGGGAGAAGAACGAGCAAAGAACCAAATATTACAAACCAACTTAGGGTTTGTTACCAATATATCATAGGGAAACAACTTAAGGAGTAGTGTTCCTCAGAATGTTATTTTGCTATCATTAGTAATGTTAAGCATCAAGAAAAAAATAAAAATAAAGAGATATAGATCATTGCACGTTAACAGCCGCCAGAAATGCGGCTTCAGCTTTTCGAGAATCTAAGAACCTGATGCTACGCCGCAGGCAGCTTTTTACTGTGCATCTTGTCTGGAAGCTTCATTCACATTCTTGTATCCGTGCTTCAGGTCAAGTGACGTGTGATGGCACGAAGGGCATAGAGGAGTTCAGCTTGCATGCGAGCCTCCATAAGAAGAAGATTCACATGGACCTGTTGGGAAGTTTGAAACATGAACATTACAGGCACACAAACATATTGCTTGCGAAGCTCAGCAGTGAACTTGAAAGTTGAAGAGACCACAGGGGTTAAACCCCCTGCCATGCAGCAAAAGCACGATCAAAGCACCCCCAAAAGATGGACATCCAGCTCTGTTTAAAAGCTTCCAAAACCGCTCTGAGTACCCCTAGGGGTGAGAAAGGCAGTATATAAACACTGTAAATAAATAAATAAATAAATAAACAAACAAACAAACAAACAATTTAGTCCTACATATTTCTGAGATGTTTTAACCCGAAGCCTCTTCTCTTAGTGGCAGTGGAGGACAGCGCATTAATAGACAGGCGTTTTTACTGTTTGATAGCCATAGAAGCTTTTCTTCCATATCAATGACATTTCCCTTGTTTACACACAGAGCCCATGCTAATGTGTTTGAAGAGACACTCACCTTCTCTGAATGCTTGAACTGACGCCAGTAAGCATCGTACATGCGCTTGGTAGTTCGCTCTGGGTAGCAGGTCACTGTTTTAATGTAAACTTTCAGGTTCCGTTCAAGTAACTGATTAACTTCTCCATAATCGTAGTCATCATACCTAAGCAAGATTAAGCCATTCTGAATCTTTCTTTTCTAAGCATAGGCAGCTTTCAAAATATTTCCTTTTTATACTGAACAATCTTGTAAAATCTGTGCCCTAGGGAATAAATCTGTCTAAAAGTTGAATGACATTGTATGGTAGTGTTCAATTAGAAATATGAAATAATGCTGTATGAGAACAGGCTACTTCCATATCATTCTTGGCATCTGTTAGGTATGATAAGAAATCTCTGTGTGTGACTTCTGTGATCCAATACATGTAAGAATGCGGCAGAATAAAGGGTTTGTGTGTGCCTTTTTGGTTTATAGAAACCTTTTTGAACACCTGCTGGGATTATTCTTGATAAGAATGACTTGAACTATTTGTGGGACAAGTGTCCATATGGATCGCAGTCACAGGAAACATTCTCAAGGGTCTTTCTGGTTCTAAAAATCATGCTGTAAAAATCTATTCAAACTTGAATTCAAATTTACTGTCCACTTATAGGCATTCTGGGTTGTTGTGAGTTTTCTGAGCTGTATGGCCATGTTACAGAAGCATTATCTCCTAACATTTTGCCCACCTCTATGGCAGGAATCCTCAGAGGTTGTGAGGTCTGTTGGAAACTCAGCAAGTAGGATTTAAATATCTGTAGAATAATGTCCAGGGTGGAAGAAAGAACTCTTGTCTGTTTGAGGCAGGTGTGTATATTGTAATTGGCTACCTTGATTAGTATTAAATAACCTTGCAGCTTCAAAGTCTGGCTGCTTTCCTGCCAGTAAATAAAGACCAAAACTCAAACACAGGGGAACTCTAGACAAGAAACAATAAGGAACAGCTTATCACCTCTCAAAAAAGGATTACCCCAGGCAGTAACAAGCTACACCTAAAAACTGCCAGGCCATCAAATGCTAATCAATGTGGCCAATTGAAACATTCACACCTAGCTACAACAGACAAGAGTTCTTTCTCCCACCCTGGACCTTCCACAGATATATATACCCAATTTTTCTGGTTATAATATAGCACTTATCAACTGGGTTGTTGTAGGTTTTTTCGGGCTATATGGCCATGTTCTAGAGGCATTCTCTCCTGACGGTTCACCTGCATCTATGGCAAGCATCCTCAGAGGTAGTGAGGTCTGTTGGAACTAGGAAAAATGGGTTTATATATCTGTGGAAAGACCAGGGTGGGACAAAGGACTCTTGTCTGCTGGAGCTAGGTGTGAATGTTTCAACTGACCACTTGATTAGCATTTGATAGCCTGGAAGTGCCTGGAGCAATCTTTTGTTGAGAGGTGATTAGATGTCCCTGATTGCTTTCCCTCTGCTGTTTTGCTGTTTTAATTTAAGAGTTTTTTAATACTGGTAGCCAGATTTTGTTCATTTTTATGATTTCCTCCTTTCTGTTGAAATTGTCCACATGCTTGAGGTGAAATGTCAGGAGAGAATGCCTCTAGAACATGGCCATATAGCCCAAAAAAAACCTACAACAACCCAGTGATTCCGGCCATGAAAGCCTTCGACAAACCTCACAACCTCTGAGGATGTCTGACATAGATGTGGGCGAAATGTCAGGAGAGAATGCTTCTGGAACATGGCCATACATCCTGGAAAACTCAACAGCAACCCAATGATTCTGGCCCTGAAAGCCTTCGACAACTTATAGGCAGGCTGATATGGGAGGTGGTGGTCTTTAAGACAGCCTGGTCCTAAGAATTTTAAAGTTAAACATCAGCAAAGACAAATTAGAAGTCTGCGCAATGGACGAAAGTCTAATAGGATGTGCTGAAAAAGAATACACCAGAAATCAATCTGAGTTGTGATTATTCCACATCATACATGCTGCAGCATTTGAAAGAAGCTGATATTAATAATGGTGCAAGAGTTAAACCTCATCTCCCACAAAGCAATTCTGATTAAAATTACTCATAGGAATCTGCAAGCTCCCATATGTATACAGTATGACCCTCATGCTCAAGGGATTGGGATCAGCAGTTTCATTTATCACTGCCCATCTAAATATGTCCTCTCTAGGTATTTCCTTAGTCCTCTATTGCGATTCTGTGGTATTCCTGGGCCAGGACTTCTTCGTTTCAATAGGATTGACGTTATCAGTATTCATGCCAAGTCTGGGAATATATTCTCTGCAGGTACAGAGCTTTAATAGTATTTGTTATTGATGCCAAGAGGAAGTGGATTTTCTCTCAATGAGCTTTCTCTTCAAGAGCCAGTATTTACTATTTTTCTAACACTCTTTCAAACTTCTAATAAGATCCAAAACATTTTGTTATGATACCAATATATATGTTCTAATACACAATATCTCGAAAGCACAGTCAGTAACCGAGTCCATTTGTTACATACCTGATTCCATACATACAGTGGACGTAATTAAATAAAGCTCTTCTCAACATGGTTGTGTCTACATCTTCATGGGTGGCCATAGTATTGTAAGTGAGGTTGTAGACCATCCGGAATTTCTCATCCAAGAGATGCCCGATGTCAGAATAAAGCCTGTTTACAAGGGAGAATCCATGATTTTCCCAGGTGTAGTCCTGCAAAAGATAAAGAAATAACAAATGTATACCGTTCTTGAGCCTTACTCCTGAATTGTTATTAGGTACATGGGGAAAGTCAATATTTATTTATTTACTAGCTGTCCCCTGCCACGTGTTGCTGTGGCCCAATCTGGTGATCTGGAAAATAAAGTAATGAGGAAGTGTTGGTTTCTAATATATGTAATTCCTTTATGCTTGTGAGTAAACAGTATTTCTCGTTGTTTCTTTGTCAGTGTTGATGTGGAGAGTGTCTGGTTTGCCTACTCTGGAATATGCAACATATCATAGTCCTTCTTTAAGGATCTCTTTCAAATCTATGATACTATATCTGTGTGTGTGAGAATCATATCTATCTATCTATATTTATGACTGGATGGCTCTTTGTCAGGAGGGCTCTGATTACATTTTCTTGCCCTGGTGAAGAGAGTTGGACTGGATGGCCTTAAGTATTTTCTGTTGGTCATGGGGGTTCTGTGTGGGAAGTTTGCCCCATTTCTGTCGTTTGTGGGTTTCAGAATGCTCTTTAATTGTAGTGAACTATAAATCCCAGTAACTACAAATCCCAAATGTCAACGTCTATTTCCTCCAAGCTCCATCTCTGTTCATATTTAGGCATATGGAATTTTTGTGTCAAGTTTGGTCCAGATCCATCATTGTTTGAGTCCACAGTGCTCTCTGGATGTAGGTGAACTACAACTCCCAAACTCAAGGTCAGTGCCCACCAAACCCTTCCAGTGTGTTCTGTTGGTCATGGAAGTCCTGTATGCCATGTTTGGTTCAATTCCATCATTGGTGGAGTTCAGAATGCTCTTTGATTGTAGGTGAACTATAAATCCCAGCAACGACAATTCCCAAATGACAAAATCAATTTTTTTGAGTGGAGAACATAAATTGGACTGTTAGGTGTCTTGTGTCCAAATTTGGTGTCAATTCCCCCAGTGGTTTTTGAGTTCTGATAGTAGCACGAACTAACATTACATTTTTATTTATATAGATATATATATGATATATTATATATATAATCCCTACTTTGCGAATTTTCACTTTTCGCGGGTGGTCCTGGAACGTAACACCTGCGATAAGTGAGGGAACACTGTATATCAAATCGAACTGACAACCTGACAATGGATTAAAACCATTAAAACTATAACGACAGTCACAGACATAACATTAAACATTTGGACTTTGCATCAATCCCGGGTGTCTTTATATTAGCACAGATTTTCACGTGTACTTTTTCATTTGATTCTCCAACAAAGACAAATGCAGGAAACCCATGTAAACACACCTGGGCTCGGAATGTTGGCAGATCTCCACGTCTACCAAAGTCTTTGTATCCAAATCCAGGGTCTTCAACGTAGCGGGAAACATCTGCTATGGAACTTATTTCATCATCAAATGCTAAGAAAGAAAAGTAGGTAATGTGAGTGAAACTTTCTCATTTCTATTATTATTGCTGTTATTATGTTCCCACCTCTTGTTATCGCTTGAGGCAAGGAGCAACACATGAAAATAAGGCAAAAAATTATACATATATCACAAATAAAGACAAGCACGCCAATTATAAGGTAAACGTAAAGATTTCCCCTGACATTAAGTCTAGTTAGGTCTGGCTCACGGAAGGGTGGGGTGGTGGTGCTCATTTCCATTTCTAAGCAGAAGAGCCAGCATTGTCCTTAGACACCTCCAAGGTCATGTGGCCAGCATGACTGCATGGAGAGCTGTTGCTTTCCTGCAAAAGCTGTACCTATTCATCTACTCACCTTTGCATGTTTTCGAACTGCTAGGTTGGCAGAAGCTGGGCTTAACAGTGAGAGCTCACCCCGCTCCCCAGATTCAAACCACCAATCTTTTGATCAGCAAGTTCAGCAGCTCAGCGGTTTAACTCACTGTACCACCAGGGACTCCTCGTGTATGTGTGTACATTTGGTAATAAAAGTGGAGAGACCCCATGAAAACCATTGTGTTTCAGATGACAAAGTGACACAAATGTTCTACCTCTGTGGTAATTCTGCTACTTACACAATCAAGAGATCATGAGATATTGCAGTACAAAAGTAGTTGATATGCACAACCCTTTTAAGATCTGCTTCTTGGCAGAATGGGGTTGGACTGGATGGCCGACGAAGTCTCTTTCAATTCTATGATTTTATTTATTTTTTTCATGTCAGGAGCGACTTGAAAAACTGCAAGTTGCTTCTCGTGTGAGAGAATTGGCTGTCTGAAAGGACATTGCCCAGAGGATGCTCGTATGTTTTGATGTTTTGCCATCCTTGTGGGAGGCTTCTCTCATGTCCCCGCATGGGTAGCTGGAGCTGACCAAGGGAGCTCATCTGCACTCTCCCCAGATTCGAACCTCTGACCTGACTGTCTTCAGTCCTTCTGGCACAAGTGTTTAACCCATTTTGCCACTGGGGACTCCTGATTCTATGATTCTATGTAATCCTATTACTGGGAAATTTGATTCTCCCCGTTTGGCATTCAGCAACCACCAACAAGTGAAACCATTTGTTGATTTTCAATCTTTTTTTTATTTAAATCAGATACAGTAACACACCTGAAATCCAACTGACACGAAAGGAGCTGAACTGAAGTAGGCAGGGAGCAGTACCTTCAGTGACGACTAGGAGGCTCTCAGTCTTCTCCTTCTCAAAGCGAGTATCCATTTCCTCTTGGGAGGCCTCCTCTTCCTCCTCCTCTTTCTCTTCCTGCAGCCTCTTCATTCTGTCCATCAGAGCCTCCAGCTCACTTAAAGAATCCGAGATCTATAACAAATCACAAGTTGGAAGTGGTGCGAAAAACTGGAAGACCCAAAGCTTCTAAAGAGAGTGGTATTCAAAATTGTATTTTGTTGAAAACTAAACAGCCCATCTTCTCCCACCCTTCCTCGAGTCAAGTTTCACACTCGGAATTGGCAGGGGGAAGACTGGGTCTTTGTACTGTAGATTTAAAGTTATGCCAAGCAACTTCTTTTGCCAGCCTAATTTATGCAAAAATGTCTTCACTCGACACAATCCTTTCTCTGATGTTAGATTTCCAAAACAAATTATAGTATAATTCATAACAGCATTCTCACTCTTTCAAGCTAAGTGTTACTGATTTTAATGGAACAATATTCAAATAACCTTGTTTACAACTATAGACTTTATGTTAATTTCCAGTTTACAATCAAAATTCATATGCAAGTAGCAGTAGGAAATGATAATAACTTCTCATGGGATATCTCGGTCCTGCCTCCTTCCCAGGTGTGACTGGGAAGGAGAAGAGACAGGGCCTTCTCTGTAGTGGCCCCTCAGCTGTCGAATTCCCTCCCCAGTAATATTAGATCAGCTCCCCCTCCCCTGGCCTTCAGAAGGAAAGTAAAAACCTGGCTTAATCTCAAAAGGGATCAGGCCTTTGGAGATGATGATGATGATGATGATTATTTTAAGCATTTATACCCTGCCCTTCTCACCCTGGGGCGGGGGACACACAACTCAGGGCGGCTTATAAAAGGCAACCATTAGACGCCGGGCACTGAACTAACAATTAACACTAAATGACAATAAAACAATTATAAATATTCAATTTTTTTTTTTAAATTGCCAGTTTAAAATCATGATCCAGGATCAGTCCATTGCCGGTTGCATAGGTCAATCACATTCAACTGCTGTATTTATTGCTCGAAGGCTTGACCCCAGAGCCAGGTCTTAAGTTTTCTTCGGAATGCCAGGAGGGAGGGGGCACATCAGATATCATTTGGGAGGGAGTTCCACAGCCAAGGACCCACCACTGAGAAGGCCCTGTCTCTTGTCCCCACCAGTCGTGCTCGCGAAGATGGTGGGATCGAGAGAAGGGCCCAATGATCTTAAAGTCCTTGATGATTTGTAGAGAGAGAGGGACGGAACTGTTAGGGGTTTTATAGGTTAAAGCCAGCACTTTGAATTGTGCTCGGAAACAGATTGGCAACCAGTGGAGCTGACGTAACAGGGGGGTTGTGTGTTCCCTGTATCCAGTTCCGGTGAACAATCTGGCTGCTGTTGGTTGGACTAGTTGAAGCTTCCGAGCAGTCTTCAGAGGCAACCCCACATGGAGTGTGTTGCAGTAGTCTAAATGGGATGTAACAAGAGCATGGACTACAAGTGGATTAATTATAGTACAATAAGAGCTATGGAATATGTGCAATGATTATTGGAATGGCCCCGGATTACGATTGTGGGTGACGTGATTTTAATAGTGAATGCAATATTTTTATTTGTTTTAAAGTGCATTAATTTTAATTTTACATTTTTACTTAAATGTATTTTAACTGTATTTATTTATTTATTTGCCGTATTTATATTCCGCCCTTCTCACCCCGCAGGGGACTCAGGGTGGATTACAGTGTACACATATATGGCAAACATTCAATGCCAATTTTAACATACAACATATAAAGACATACACAGAGGCTATTTAACTTTTTCTGGCCTCCAGGGGAGCTGTTGCTTTCATCGTCCATCTGCGACACTGATGAAGTAATTCCGCATTCCCCGCATGCTTTTTTGCTGGAGTGCTTTGCTGGAGTCTTTTTTATGGCCTCATAAATTAGTTAATTTAGCCTCCCCACACTTTAAGGTAGTACCTAACTTTCCTACTTGACAGATGCAACTGTCTTTTGGGTCGCAAAGGTCGACAACAGGCTACACAATTGGTTGGAAACCCACTCCAACCCAGACTGGCTTCGAACTCATGACCTTTTGGTCAGAGTGACCTTAATGCAGCTGACACTCAGCCAGCTGCGCCACAATCCCGGTGTATGTCTGTATGTTGTCCAAAGGCATTGAATAGTTGCCTAGAGTCTCCTACAGAGTAGAGAAAGGCAGAATATAAAATGGGTAAATAAAATAAAATAAAATAATTAATAATATCCCTTACCATCCCTTAAAGACTTCTATAGCCAGTCAATTCCTTATCGGCTTCTCTCAGCTAGCATACTTCTTTGTTTGCTTGCATCTCTTTTCCATCTCTGCTTCTGCTTCCTAGAACAGATCCTGCCCTGCAAATGACTTCTTTCTGGGCTGCCTTCCCATTGGATCTATCCCAACACTCCACCCAGCTCTGATCCCAGCTTTGCTGGGATTCACAATTCCCTTCTTGGTTTTCCAGCACTGACCAACACAGATGAAATTCTCTGAATCAAGACTTCTCTTCCCACCCACACCCAGAACCAAAAAGTGAGATGACCAAAATGAGGCCAAAAATCTGGTGACACTAACCTCAAAGTTGTTACTTGTGAGGGATGCATTTTCAATGTTGTTGTCATTGGCAAGATCGCAGACACAGAAGTTGTTAACTGATATGAGCCTGTAGCCATTTGAGGTATCCAGATCTCTCTCTGGATTGATGCCACTACCAAAGACAAAACTTGCCAAGGCATGATAGTGCGCCAAGAGGACCACAGCATGCACCAGTTCAGGAAGAGACCAATTATTTTCCCCTGTCTTGACAAGTTGCTGAAACAGAAATGAAAAAAAAAAAAACACAAAACCACAAAATGTGCATTATGTTAGATACAGACACAGGAAGGAGACAGAATATTCCAAAAGGAAGGCCAGAAATACAGTCTTTCCACGATTATCATTTTAATAGGGTAAGTTGGGAGAACCAGGATCATTAAAAGATGCCACAAGCCCCCCACTCCCACTCCCACTCCCACCCCGGACCAGGCACACATCAGTCGGCACTGTTCCAAATCTTCCATTAGAGATCCAAACATTTTTTTTTAAGTATGAGTATTGATTTATTTATTTATTGTATCAGGAGCGAACCAAACAGTTGCATTGTATATAAAAAATCACAAAGTTTGCAAACTTGGCATTCTATTAAATGTCTTTTGACCAGTAGCTGGCCACTTGGAGTGCCTCTGGTGTTGCTATAAGAAGGTCCCCCATTGTGCATGTGGCAAGGTTCAGGCTGCATTGTAATAGGTGGTCTGTGGTTTGCTATTCTCCACTCGCATATTGTGGACTCCACTTTGTAGCTCCATTTCTTAAGATTGGCTCTGCATCTCAGCGCCTTCCAAGTTGCCCAGTTTTCTTTGTGCTCAGGAGAGAGTCTCTCATTTGGCATCAGCCATTGGCTGAGGTTTATTTATTTCCTATATCTATACCCTGCCCTTCTCCCCCCAAAGAGGGACTCAGGGCGGCCTAACAAAAGCATCATACGATACTAGCATCATAAAAACAACCACAGTACAATTAAAATATTTAAAATATTAAAACAACAATTAAAACGATTAATAATGGATTTAATTAATCCATTAAATCCAAAAACCAATTGGGGTCAATTCATTGCCATAAGTTGTGTGATCTTCTTCCACTTGCTGCTCACTGATCAAATGCTTGGTCCCATAACCAGGTCTAGATTTTCCTTCTAAAAGACAAGAGGGAGGTGGCCAAACTGATATTTCTAGGGAGGGCATTCCATAGGCGGGGAAGGGGGGCACTGATGAGAAGGCCTTGTCTCTTGTCTCCATCAACCACATTTGTGATAGTGGAGGGATCAAAAGCAGGGCCTCTCCTGAAGATCTTAAACTTCATGGTGGTTCGTGGCAGGAGATACGTTCGGACAGGTAGTCTGGGCCAGAACTGTTTAGGGCTTTAAATGTTAAAACCAGCACTTTGAATTGTGCTCGGAAGCTAATCGGCAGCCAGTGGAGTTGGTGCAACAAAGTTGTATGGTCCCTATACGTCGCTACGGTAAGCAACCTGGCTGCCGACTGTTGGACTAGTTGAAGCTTCCGGGCAGTCTTCAAAGGCAGCCCCATGCAGAGTGCGTTGCAGTAGTCCATTCGGGATGTAACAAGAGCGTGGACCACCATGGCCAAGTCAGACTTCTCAAGGAACGGGCGCAGCTGGCGCACAAGTTTTAATTGTGCAAAAGCTCTCCCAGTTACCGCCGAGACCTGGCGTTCCAGGCTCAGCGATGAGTCCAGGATCACTCCCAAACTGCGAACCTGTGTCTTCAGGGGGAGTGTAACCCCGTCTAACACAGGCTGTAACCCTATCCCCTGTTCGGCCTTTCAGCTGATCAGGAGTACTTCTGTCTTGTTTGGATTTAGTTTCAATCTGTTCGCCTTCATCCAGACCGACACAGCAGCCAAGCCCTGGTTCAGGACCTGCACAGCCTCCTTAGTGACAGGTGGGAAGGAGTGCTAGAGCTGAACATCATCCGCGTACAGATGACATCTGACCCCAAAACTCTGGATGATTTCTCCCAGTGGCTTCATGTAAATGTTTAACAACATGGGGACAGTATTGACCCCTGCGGGACCCCACAAGTCAATGGTTGAGAGGACGAGCAGGTATCCCCCAGCAACACTTTCTGGGACCGTCTCTCAAGGAAGGACTGGAGCCACTGTAGAACAGTACCACCAAGTCCCATGTCCCTGAGGCGTCCCAAAAAGATACAGTGATTGACGGTATCCAAGGCTGCTGAGAGGTCTAGCAGAACCAACAGGGAAACACTCCCCCGTCTAGTTCCTGGCGAAGAACATCTACTAAGGCGACCAAGGTTGTTTTGGTACCACATCCTGGCCTAAAGCAAGACTCTGCTGGATCTAGATCATCAGTGTCTACCAAGAATCCGTGGAGCTGTGAGGCCACCACACATTCCAAGACTTTGCCCAAGAAGGGGAGATTGGAAACTGGCCGAAAGTTGTTCCATTGGGTGGAGTCCAGTGATAGTTTTTTCAACAGCGGTTTTATAACAGCCTCTTTTAGGCTCGCTGTAAGGAGGCATTGACCACCACCTTTACCCTTGCCGGATGGTTCTTTGCAGACACAATATTGGCTGCATAGAAAGATTTCCTTGTAGCCTCTAGTGCCGTGGGGTATGCCTTTAGATAGGCATTTAGCCATGTTCGATTTGACTCGTTAGGCTTTTTCCACCACACGTGCTCTAGTCTTCTCTTCATTCGCTTCATTGCTGCCAGCTCCTTGTTGAACAAAGGAGATGGTTTAGCTCGGCTACTTGAGAAGGGATGTTCTGGAGCGATCGTGTCTATTGCCCTAGCCATTTCCCTATTCCAGCGAGTAACAGGAGCATCGTCAGAATCACCAACCAAGGAGGAAGAGAAATCCAAGAGCCATCACGAATCCATTTGGATCCATAAGCCTTCTGGGGTGGATCATCTTAATGTGTTTGAGCCTGCCACTTTTGAACTCTCACTTGCTGAGGTGTTCCAGTGAGTATCTCTGTAGATCTTAGAAAACTATTTCTTGATTTAAGTTGCTGGCATGCTGGCTTATAACTGAACAGGGGATGGGCCGGAGACGTCACTGCCTTGGTTCTTTCATTATTGGTAAACAACCAATAGTGAAAAGTATGAGTAGAGGTTCCAGGACTCTTTTGCCACACAGCAGGACTATGATCAGATATAAAGACAACAATTTAAACACATGAAATTGCTGAAGTATTCTCCCCCACCCCGGGCTGATTCCACAAAATACCTGAATGTGCTCTTTTGAAACAAGCCAGGGGCGATGTGCAAGAAGCTTATTGATTTCATTCAGATTTTTCAGCCTTTGTGGAACATATTCCAAGCCATTCAGCCATTCTGGGATCCCTCCGGTCTTCAGAAACTCGTCCACATGCATGTTTATTAGGTAGGAACACTGGTGCCTGGCAGCAGCCTAGAATTGGAAACACAGAGACAGATAAGCCGTGTGTGGTTCATCTAAGGCTGCTTGCCTTCTAGGTAAGAGAACAAGAGGGTTTGAGCATAACCAAAGAACCATGAATTAAAGATGCGCACACACAAAGCCTACAAGAGATTTCAGTTGATTTACTCTGACATAAAAGCAAACAAGAGAGCAGTATTTTAGCAGGTGTGTGCAATTCATGGTTACACTCAAAGTATAAATGGCTAATGTATATCCTGAATAGTTGTGCTGCACAGTGAGCATCAGCACAGAGGATGAATCGCTAGGGTAAGCTCAGCAGCTCCCAGTTCAATTCTTGTCTCTACTATGAATTTACTATGGCAGAAAGCAAGCCACTATCATTCAGCTTCACCCCTCCCACCCACAATACAGCAACATCAATACTGAGTTATCTGATAGAATTACTGTTCAGATTGTGAGAGTCAGTGATATATCAATGAAGGGGACACCAAAGAGTCTTGCTGGATCAGGTCAAAGATTTATTCAGTCCAGCACTGTTTATCACAGTGGCCAACCAGATACTTCCTGAAAGCCAACAAGTAGGACAAGCAGACAACAAACCATTCCGGCCACGAAAGCCTTTCACAAAACAACAAACCACTGTTGATCATGTTCCACAGAAAGTGACACACAAAATCAGATTTCCTCTGAATGAATACATGTCCCACATGACAACCAGCTATTCATAGCCACATCCTCCATGAAATCAGTGGTTTCCTTTTGAACCCAGGCACAGTTTTAACTATCCCCATGCAGTGCCGGATTAGGGACAAATGAGGCCCTGTGCTAGTTAAGTTATGAGGCCTCTTACTTCAAAATAATCTAGAAGGCATGACTGATCATTTTGGGATAATTTCAGGTGATGGTTTTTTGCAAGATCTGGGGTGCATCTATAACGGAGCTGCCGTGCCTCTAGGCTATGGAAGGCTGGGGAACTGGAGTTTTACCAGGTTTTAGTCTTCTCTGCCAAAGAGTTGTAATAAGAAATTCAATGTGCAGATTTGATAAATGTGAATTTAATATGATGTTTGGGAATGAATGGAAGAATTGAAGGATGTATAGATGGAGTTAATAATTTTGGAAGCACCAGTAAAATATTAACGCCTGCAATAACTAATTACCTGCTTGCTGGACTGTGATTAAAACCTACTAATAAGAGCTGAAAAGTAAAATGTGATAAGGACTGTGACAATGATTATTTCAAGTTAAGGAAATGTTCGCAACATTCCTTATGTTAAGAAGGAAGTCAACATAAGATCAACACCAATCAAGAAGAGTCAACATCTGGCCAGGAAATTGAGATGGATCAGGATGGAAGATGTCCATCATTAATTTACAACTTTGGGACTACATCAGCAGAATATTCCTATAAAAGACTTGGTGTAATAATGCTCAAGGGGTGGCAGACTGAGGAGTCTGTTCCACCCGCTATGCTCTACTCCATGGGAAGGAGAGTGGTAGTATACGTATGGAGAGTGGCAGATTTGCACTGGAGCAGTCTGATCACTTTGGGGCTTCTTTCTCAAGGGAAAAGGAAGAAGTGTGCTTCTGGAGTCTTAGATTTTGTGCAGGGAGTCAGGTTCTGCTGTATGGAAAACAGAGATCTGATCCTTAGCATTGTGCTTAGGGAAAGGATGCATTTTGGAGTTTTGAAGCTTGGAACTATATGTTGGCAGGTTGCAGGAAAGCAGGTTCTGGCCTAACAGGTGTTTCTCCAAGGAGGGATAAAATGATATGGTACTATTTGAATGCCTGAGGATGCATCCATGAACATGAGGTGTGAATGTTGAGTGAAAATGTAATTCCCCTTTGTTTGTTTGTTAACCAATGTAAATTGCAAATCCAATGTAGTTGCATAGAATCTGTATGTCTAATGTACTTCTTCATCTAAATGTTTTTCTGTAATCTGATATACCCCCTCACACTGGAAATTGCAATAAAAAGAACCTATGCTTTAAAGTTATTGAAAAGTCATTCATGACAGAGTGTTAGTGCTTTCCTAAACTATAAATCTCAGCATTCCACAAGACTGAGGAATGTCAGTTACAGTGGTATGAACTGCATTAATTGTACAGTGCAGATTTACTATATGCTCACTCATGACTGCTGAGTCTGGCATCCTGAAAACCATGGATCTCATTTAATTTCTTCTAAATGGAGGTAAAAACAGTTTGGCGATTCCAGTACTAGACATAGAAAAAGAAACCTTTCAGCATTGAAGCTTCCAGACTGACCTTGTGCAAATCAATGATATAGATTTCCTGATACTCAGAAGTATAAAATACATCTCAAAGAAAAACAGAACTATGTTACCTGGTCTAATTGAACCTTTAGTATAGAGGACATTCAGTTACTCTACATTATTGACCGTATGCCCATGACTCTCGGTCTAAATCAGTTCTCCAAATGGTTGGTTTTTCTTAACAGCCAAACTCTGTTCTCCACCTGATGTGCTTTCACACTGTTATGGACTGAAACTACTTCCAAGATGCTAAAGTGCATTTATTCTACAGTGAAGAAGAATCCTGTATCAGGGAATGAAATGAGGGCATACAGTTTCTTGTACTCACCATGATTGCTATGTAGTGCCGGTAGGGCAAAGGAAGAGGCCCATCCATACGCAACACATAAAACTGGCTGCGGAGGAAGGACTCCAGGTACTGTGTGTGTAAGCTCATGACCCGGGTGATGTTATCTAGGCGTCCCGATGTAGAATATTCTTCCAAAAGCAGGTGCATACGTTCATTCAAACTGTTGGCTTGCATAACCTTTAGGGAACAAAAAGCAAGCAAGCTAAGGAGGATTTTCATTATTCAATTTTCATTGTGTTAGCAACACTCCAATGAGACACTCTGGAACTTTATGGAATTTTGAACAATATTACCCAAAATATTGCTATTACCAGGGCCGTAGCCCGGGGGGGGGGGGGCTGTTAAGGGGTTCTCCCCTCCCGAAAAGTTTCAAACTGTTGCATTCCAGGACAGGAATAACCTTCCAACTTTAAAAATACAATACGTTGAATGGGAAAACAATCCTTTTATTGAAGATAAGTAAAAACAGCAAAATAAAAAAGGCACTTTAAAGGGATAGGTAAATCCAATTCGGTAAGAAGATAAGCAGGAAAAAAAAATAGTTCAAGATAAAGTTCAGCAAAGTCCAAAACAAAGTCCACACTTCTTTAACAAAATCCAAAGAACCAGCAAATATTGATCCAAGGCATGAGCAGATAATCACAAGTCAAAAAACCAAACCAGGAAACAAGAAATCCTTAAGCATGAATCTTCAAAGGAGGGCTTCTCTAAGACAAGGACAAGAATTTAGCATGATTCTATATGATGCTTCATCTGACTGTATTTTTCCCGATTGGAACTTTTAAGCCTTTCCAAGCACTCAGAAACTGGTTTCGCTTTCCTTGAGCGGCCCTTATCTTTTTCTATTGAAGCCTGACAGAAAGCCGAAGGCATTGCTCAACCTGTCTGTTTTGACTAATTTCCGCCCACTTAGTTCCTGCAGGTACTGAGTTGTTTTCAAGCCCCAAATCCTGGAAACTCTCTGGGAGCAACTCAGGTAATAAACCATCATCCCTATACCATGTAGGAACATTCCCAAGGGAAACTACACTTTGAACAGGTGTCTCTCTGTAATTCTCTGCATCAATATCACTGACCAAACAATTGCCATCTTGAACCTCATTTACGTCATGATTTCCTCCTTTCTGTTGAAATTGTCCACAAAAAATCTAAAATCAGGACAGTAAAAAAAGAGCAACACTCAAAAGCAGGATAATTCCAGACAAGAATCAATCAGGGCCTGCTCACATCTCCCAACAAAGGATTCCCCCAGGCAGCAATAAGCCAGGCATTTAAGCTACAAGGCCATTAAATGCTAATCAAGGCGGCCAATTGCAACATTCACACCTGCCTCAAGCAGACAAGAGTTCTTTCTCCCACTCTGGGCATTCCACAGATATATAAGCCTCACTTGCCTAGTTTTCAACAAACCTCACAACCTCTGAGGATGCCTGCCATAGATGTGGGAAAAATGTCAGGAGAGAATGCTTCTTGAACATGGCCAAACAGCCCGGAAAACTCACAGCAACCCAGTGATTCCAGCCATGAAATCCTTCGACAACACTATTTGCACTGTTATTACTATTGCAAATTCAATAGAGTCAGTGTAGTATAGTGGTTTGAACACTGGATTACAACTTTAGAGAACAAGACTTGAATTCCTGCTCAGTCACAGAAACCCACTGTGTGAACTTAGTTAATCCACATGCTCTCAGCCTCAGAGAAAAGCAAATGCAACCTCTCTCTGAATAAATCTTGCCAAGGAAGCTGTAAAGTAATAAAAAATCAGAAATAATTTGAAGGCACACAACAGCAACAATGTAAGTTTATGTATATTTTAAAAACTTACTTCCTTTTCAGGTATAAAGGCACTTGGTCCTCTTGTTAAAGGCAGAGACACTCTGATTTTCTTTTCCTGGGGAAAAAGACACAAGAATTACCACATTTTCCCCAGTGTCACCTTGGATATCCAAGATTTGAGGAACCACTGACATAAATCAAGACAAAAATTTCTGCCAAGCCTGAAAGTACTTTTAAGAAAATAATTAATCACTTCATTCATGTATGTAACGAGTTGGGAAAGCTGTGGCCTATATAACACGCTTTTCCAAACCAATCTTCTTTGGTTTGAACAATATGGGTGTGTATGTGTACAAAAAACAATCACAGAATACTGACCTTGGTACTTCTACCCCAAATTGCATGGACAGCATAGTAGATAGAATGGATATTGTTAGAACTGGACAGAGCTTGAAGGTAACTTAAGGCCCTTCCACACAGCCCTATATCTCAGAATATCAAGGCAGGAAATCCCACATTATCTGAGTGTGGGCTCAGATAACCCAGTTCAAAGCAGATATTATGGGATTTTCTGCCTTGATGTTCTAGGATATAGGGCTGTGTGGAAGGGCCCTTAGAAAAGGTTCTACATCCAGGCTGGGAATTCACAGAATGATGAAAACTGATTGAGTTCTCCAACAAGTTGTCTACCTCTTATATAAAATATCTCCTATAACTAAAGTTGCCAATTCAGAATCATCTGGGGCACTGAGATTTAGGAGTATGTGTTCCTTATAAGAAATGGCAAAACATCAACCTATTGAGAGCCATGGTGTTGTTATTACATGTTATGTATTAAGTATCAGCCACAGTGGAGCCCCCGGTGGCGCAAAGGGTTAAACCCTTGTGTCGGCAGGACTGCTGACTGACAGGTCAGACATTGAAATCCGGGGAGAGCAGATTGAGCTCCCTCTGTCAGCTCCAGCTCCCCATGCGGGGCCATAAGAGAAGCCTACCACAAGGATGGTAAAACAACAAACATCCAGGTATTGCCTGGGCAATGTCCTTGCAGACAGCCAATTCTCTCACACCAGAAGTGACTTGCAGTTTCTAAAGTTGCTCCTTACACACACACACACACACACAAATCAACCACAGTTGCTGGCACTCAAACACACATACAAACAACATATTGTCTAGTTTGGAAATCAAGAGTTAGTGAAAGGGATCGTTCCCAGACTGAAGTGAAATAAGATTATTCCTTCTCACTTAATTTAGGGGAATAGAATAAATAATATTTAATCTAGCCAATTGGCTTCCCACCTGAATGTGGATTTAAAAGAAGAGCAGAGGAGAAAAAAGAAAGCTAAGTGAATATATAGACCTCCTGGAGAAACTTTGCAAGTTGCAGCAACCAACCAATTATTTCTTCAGGCTGTAACAAACTGCTGCTCTGCTAGCCAACATGGGTATTTGCATACAACAATTTCTTATTGTGTGGGACTAAGCCCCTCCAAAATGGTAGAATCTGTACATCTAGACATGACCCACAATATCTGGAGACTCGTGGCTAGGATCTGAAATCTGACAAATTTAATCACACACATGGAACATGGAATCACTCAATTCTTGCCTACCACATTTCCACAATACTTTCTCTTCTTCCATACCAGCATTTCTCAACCTAGGGGTTGGGATCCTGGGGTGTGTGTGTGTGTGAGGGGATTTCAGAGGGGTCACCAAAAACCATCAGAAAACATATACTTCTGATTGTCTTAGAAACCCCTTTGGCAGAGAAGGCTGAAGATCTCTCCGCCTGTCCTTTTCCTTTTTGGAAACAGATGGTGAATCCTCCCACCAAAAACCCTCCCTCCTGCTATGATTGGCTGGCCTCTCAGTTGGCCTCTCAGTCAAGGGGAGGGCTGTTTCTGAGAATCCATGTGGGAGGGGAGGGGAGAGCAGGTGTGCTTGACGTATGGCAGCATGGTGCACATCTGCAGGTAAGGGAGAGTGTGTGAAGATGGAGGAAGGTTCTCGCTAGCGAGTCCCTTCAAGCCATGGAGGTTCTGTGTGGGAAGTTTGGCCCAATTCTACCATTAATGGGGTTCAGAATGCGCTTGATTGTAGGTGAACTATAAATCCCAGCAACTGCAACTCACAAATGTCAAGGTCTATTTCCCCAAACTCCACCAGAGTTCACATTTGGGCATATTGACTATTCATGCCAAGTTTGGTCCAGAGACCACAGTGCTCTCTGGATGTAGATAAATTACAACTCCAAGGTCAATGCCCACCAAATCTTTCCAATATTTTCTGTTGGTCATGGGAGTTCTGTGTGCCAAGTTTGGTTCAATTCCATTATTGGTGGAGTTCAGAATGCTCTTTGATTGTAGGCTAGCTACAAATCCCAGCAACTACAACTCCCAAATGACAAAAACCAATCCCCCCCTCCAAACCCACCAGTATTCAAATCTGGACATATGGAGCATTTGAGCCAAATTTGGTCCAATACATCATGCATATCAGATATTTACATTACAATTCATAACAGTAGCAAAATTATAGTTATGAAGTAGTAACGAAAATAATTTCATGGTTGGGGGTCACCACAACATGAGGAACTGTATTAAGGGGTCACAGCACTAGGAAGGCTGAAAAACACTGCTCTATACTTTCTCTTCCTCCAACCATGAGATTCCAGTTAAATGTGTCTCGTTCCAATAGTTTCTCATTATAACCCCAAACCTCCACTTCTCCAATTCTAGTCTCAGGTACCTGGCTCTTTGCTGTCAGACACCTGTCTATTTCCTCTTGATGCCCTCTATGACTAAAACACTCTTACTCACCACCTGTGTCATGCCACCTTTCCCTATTCCATTTAGATTCCTCAAATTTTAGCTTTTGGTTACGTTTCTGAGTACAAAATCCCAGTTTCAGCTCTTGCTATCCTCCAGTTAAAACAGGGATAAATAAGGACTGGGACATTCTTGGATGGATAGGAAATTGTGCCTTGAAAAAGAGGAATAATGTTGAAAAACAAAATGGGCTAGACCAGGAGTAAGTTCTGGTATAAAACAGCTTCTCATATTAACGTGTCTTTTCATATACAATGAAATCAACAGTCTATAAATGCCTGTCTCCTTCCCAATCTTAAAGGTGCGGCTGGATTCTTTTATGTTGTTTATAGTTAGCAGTCACGGGCAGCATAAGAGAACTGACATTTGGAAAACTTGCCTTTATGAAAGTAATTTGTTCTTACCACAGGCAAGTGACCATGCAATCATTCCCAGGCCGGCTATAAACTGGTCAAGAGCATGCAGTTCTCACAAGTGGACAAAGAATACATTTGAAACACAAGCAATTTGGAGAAGAGCTGTGTAGTTGTTGCAGAGTTCAGTTCTTGGAAGGTTATTAGAAAAATTAGCTGTAGCAAGTTCCAAAAAGAAAAAGAAAGGGGGAGGGATGAAGAACTGCCAAGTCAAAAAGATGTGTGTGTGTCAAGCTTGTTGAAAGGCAAAAGTAGAAACATAAAGAACTAATGCAATTTTTTTCCAACTGGTGAGGACATGGGGCAAGAAAAATCTTGCAAACACACTAAAAGTACAGTTAAATGTTTGCCCCATGGGAAAATTGCAATAGTCTGTTATTTACTTCAGCTTTTCTTCACCACTGGAATGCATAGGTGCCATGAGATTTCTTCACCTACTTCTTTTCCATTAATTATGAAACAAGTTTGAGGTTTCAAAGTAGGTAATCTACTGGTTATAGCCTAAGAAAGTCTCATAATTGTAATGCAACCCATGCCTCTTATGATACACCACTACTCATGTCAAATGAGTTGTGACACTTACTATGTTTCTTAACTCTTTTCATGGAGCCCCCGGTGGCACAATGGGTTAAATCCTTGTGCCGGCAGGACCGCTGACCAAAAGGTCAGCAATTAGAATCCAGAGAGCAGGGTGAGCTACCATTTATCAGCTCCAACTTCTCATGCGGGGACATGAGAGAAGCCTCCCACAGAATTGTAAAACATCAGGGTGTCCCCTGGGCAACGTCCTTGCAGATGGCCAATTCTCTCACACCAAAAACACCCTCTTTTTCAACAGCACTAGTTATGGCTTCCAAAGCATTAAAAAAAACTCCAATACTGTATGCAGAAGTCATGTGATATTGATGTCAATTTATCTCCTTTATTCGGTTGATCAAGCACAGAGGGGACCAAACAAATGCTTCTTACTTCACTTTCAGAAAGAAAACCCTAGAAAGCTAGATAGAGGAAAGTTAGTCTTGCATTTTAACTACTCTTCTAAAGAATTGCCTCTTGTGTTTGCAAAAATAGTATACAAAACTGCCATAATGGTCTACCAGTCAGGTGAGGATAATTCTAAAAGCATATCTTTAAGAAATGATGCAACATCTTCAGAAGATAGAAGGCTCTGTTACATCGCCTCCAAAACTGGGTCAGGTTAGTGGGGACTTAGGAATTTTTGGGAAGTTCAAAGCATATTGCGCTTCCAGTGATGCTGAACTCTTTGATTAGACTTGGGAGAGAGCAAGACCAGAACAGATTGGTCCTGACTTAATCAGAATCTTATATGTAAAGGTAAAGATTTCCCTTTGATATCAAACCTAGTCACATCTATCTCTGGGGGTGCTCATCTCCATTTCTAAGCTGAAGAGCCACCATTGTCCTTAGACGCCTCCAAGGTCATGTGTCCGACATGACTGCATGGAGTGCCATTACCTTCCTGCCAGAGCAGTATCCATTGATCTATTCACATTTGCATGTTTTTGAACTGCTACGCTGGCAGAAGCTGGGGCTAACAGTGGGAATTCACCTCGCTCGCTGGATTCGAGCTGCCGACCTTTTGGTCAGCAATTGCAGTGATTTTTCAATGTGCAGCTGCAGCTCCAACAGGTGAAAAGAAACTGAGGGGCAAGGCAGGACCTACACCTAAACTTGTGCATTGTGTTTATCCTTGGATGAGCTTTATAAGCTCCTCAACAGCTGTACAAAGCTGCAGAATTTCACCACCACCATCACCCCATGGACCCACCTGAAAAGCAGGAGGCAGTCTTTGAAAAGAGGCAATGAAGGTAGGAACATCACTTCTAGCCCCCAAGAATAGGCTTTCA